ACAATCGCCACAATAACTCTTCTGTGTGGATACGCTACGGTTTAAACCTTCATCTAGCCAAGACCGCTCAAATTCGCCTCATACGAGCTAACGGCACCCTCGATGGAGGTGGTTGTGACAGGTGTTGGGATGACACCTCACTCGACTATAAAGCTAACAGTTGACACTGTTAACTGGATCAACTAAAAATGTGGGTGGATATCGTGAGAGTTGAGCTCCAGTACAACCCTTCGGTACACTAGTACAGAAGATGGCAGGACCAGTTGGCTCAACCTCATTTCCGAGCCTGGTTTTGAACAATGAAATGTTACCCTGATTCAGCGGACTAGCAAATTAGTTTTTGAATTAGTAAGGATGCACGGCATCACAAGGGCAACTATGCATGTGAATTATCAAGAGCAATATGGTCTTGGTCCTGGTGTTGACGGTGTGTGAATTTTTGCTGATTAAAATGGAAGTAAGTATATGAAAAACAAGCATTCGGGTGCATGTTTGTGATAATGTATAGATAAATATGGAGTACATGAAAAAAATGCAGAAAAATCCTTTACAGTACAAATGTCCGTCTCGACTTTCCTGTAACTGCCGACTTTCGTACCCACTCGAAGTCACCAAACTGACTGTCAAAGGTGCCCACTTGGATGGACCTCAGTTTCAGGGTGAAGCGAGGCCCAACCTCGTTCGTGACAACACGATCGTTGAGGCCTGTCGCAGGGGTGTTGGTGGTCTCAGGCTCCTCCTCCTGACCAAGACGATCCTTCTTGTGCTGGTATCGATAGTGTCGGAAGAAGATGAAGTCACGCTGATTGTGAAAAACCACAGTACGACAGTGAGGCTGCGGTGGCCCCCGGGAAGCTGCAGGGAAGAGTGCCCCCAAAATGCGCTCTACACGGCGTCCAAGTCGTGTCATGAAGCGATTGAGGAGAAGGTGAGGAACGACACCCGGCTCGATGCCTCTGTTCTTCAGACCGTGGATTTTACGTCGAGGGGTCACATTGGAGACACGGAAAGTGGCGGTGGGTCCGTTGGGCAGGTGACTAATGACCAGG